CACACACACACACACACACACACACACACACAAAATAACACAATAACAGCAGCTGTAAAAGTGTCCAAAAATCTATTAAATACGATTTAAAAAATAAATAGAATAAAATATACCAAAAAGTGGGAAATTTGCTGGGCCAAAAAATTAGACAACAGCTCTCACTCTGCATTGCCTCATTACAACAACCATCATGTTTGTTTTTAATGTTTCAAGCACATCTGCTCTTCATCAGATATTGAATGTTGTTGGTCATGTGAGCTCATCACGTGAAGATGTCCATTCAGAGCCCATATATTACATAGTTGCTAGATAAATAACATCTCAAAGTCATGAAATATTATTGAATCTCTGAATAAGTAAATAAATAAATTCATCCAAAAAAGAAAAATGTAACACTTTGGGGGGGAAAGCACTAAAAAATAAATGAAAAATGAAATAAAAAATGAAGGTTGTATCATTGTATACAGACAGCCAGAAGCTGAACCAGCCAGACATAAAAATACAAGGGATCATAAAAAAAACTAAAATAACATCAATTTATTGATTGAGACCTTTAGGAGCCAAAGTGTAAATCCAAAAGTGTTCTTATTCTTAGAGTAAAGTGTTCTCTCCTTGGGAGATGTACATGCTCAGTGCCAGCATAACTCAAGCAAGCCACAGTGTGATTCATATGCTTGGTGATTAGCAGCTGAACTTTCCTTTCTTGTAGCACTCGATGTTTATGCCAGCCCACACAGACATTTAAGCATACATATCACATTTTGAAATCCAGGATATGAGTTAGAATGAGTATTCTTTACTCATTATATGGGCTTGGACTGCATATGGTTTCCATGTAATGTGATCATGTGACCAGCAGCATTTGATCTAAGGTGCCTCTACTCTGTGTATTGCTGTCTGAAGGGCAGGTCTGTTTGTTACAACTACCCGAGGTGTGTGAGCTAAAATGGTAAATGTGCTTATCAGAAAAGTGTTTGATATCATTCAAACGAGAAGTAGGGTCATTTTCTGACTCCTGTGGGATCTAACCTGCTGTAGTCAGAGGAGTGGCTCCCTTACTGACGACTAGAAAAACCGCAGGTTTACGACATTTTTACATCTGTACGCTGCTTCGATTATGCGCACACAACTAATGACAACACAATGACACATGTAAAATAAGTGAGCGTTATAATTCATCCATTAGATTTCAGCCAGTCACAAAGCAATAAATCTAAGCTAGATGGAGCTGAGAGATATGAGGCGATGGTTACTGATTTATACTGAAACCTTTTAACCTTTTTTCCTGTAAAAGTAAATGGTAGAAAAATAAATTAATATTTTGTAAAAAATTATCAATCATTTTGTTCCTAAAAACATGTTTTTTACCAATGGTAAAA